GAAGTTGTTATGACTTTGTAAGAGCTTTACAAAGTCAAGATTTTTTTCGGATGACTTAGGGTTTGTGAAATAAAATAGGATTGATATTTCTAGTGATTTCAAGAGTTTTTTAATAGATCTACAAGTGAAATTTTGTAGATTAATGGTCATAGTTGTGCTTGATGAGTGTTATAAATCTTAGCTCGATCTAACAGTTGAATTGAGGATTATTGAGGTTTAAGTGGATCAAGGTTTCAAAAAATAGAATTTTAGGTCCAAAAAAGACTTTGATCAAAATTCTTTTGTATTATCCATATGCAATATTTTCATAGGATAATCAAGAAAATGTACCTGAAAATGAATAATCATAGATATAAGATTGGCAAACACCATGTTTCAAGTTGATATTAATGAAACATGTGATTGTTTACTTGATGCATCAACAAGGACCAAAAAATAACTAAAAAGTTTCAATATTGAATTAATAGGACCACAAATATCACCATGCAATCTTTTAAGCATTGGTGGGTATTCTTGTGGGAGTTTCCAAATTGAAGGTCGAGTAATCATCTTACCTTATATGCATACACGACATAATGCTATAGAGTCTACATTCGCAGGCTTTAAATTGTACCCAGTTATATATATAATGATCTTTTTAAATAATGTAGATCTTAGATATTTCAATCGTCCATGCCAATGAGAAGCACGACTCTCTATGATAGATGATAAAAAATTAAATATAATGGGAGGCCAAATTTTAATTTGGTATAAACCATCTTCTATAGCAAAAGCTTTTTCAACAACTTTATGATTCTTCGCAAGAACCAAAACCTCTTTTCTATTTAAAATGGCAGTCGAGAGGTGATAACCATTGATACGTACATCTTAATAGCTGATCAGATTCCAAAGTGCTGAGGGAGCAAATATTGCATGTTTATATTTTATGATAGAATCCGCAAGTAATTTTATCATCGCTGTGCCCTCTTTGAAGCAAAATGCATTTGCTCCAGCCATAGTCATCATATTTTTAGTTTGCCAAGTTGAAGATTTTTCAAGAAAAAATCATCTATCCGACAGGATAGTATGTGTTGTTGCAGAATCAATGAGTGCATCATTTGATCCATCATTAGAGGTTTTATCATTCATATAAGCTTCAAAGTCATCAACACCAATTGAATTTATTGACGCATCTATGGTATGAACTTCACGAGCCTCAACTTGTAATTTCTTATTTTCTTGGAATATTTTAATAAAATATTCCGAAGTACGGCATACTATCGTAATACGTGAAGTCTTACTTGAGAATGCTCCGGGCACCTGGCTGTGGAAAGAAGAATGGAAATTGCAATAACAAAACCCTAATTCTAATAGACTACTAATAATGCTCTAATTAGACTATAATAATACTAAGCAAGCTTAATCAAATTCAAAAAAACCTCAAAGAAATTTCAAACAAACAATAAGAATTCTTAAAGAAATATTAGAAGCATGACGAATATCACTCAAATATATCTCAATTCAATCTTAATTTAATTCTAGTTAAAATCCTATTGAACTTCATTAAAACTTTAGGCCAAAACTAATTGAATCTTAAATCCTAATAAAATCCTAAACCCTAAATCAAATCCTAAACAAATCTTAAACCAAACCCCAACCAAATCCTAAACCAAATCCTAAATCCTAAATAAAATCTTAACTAAATCCTAAACCAAATCCTAATCCAAATCCTAAATTCTAAACCAAACTCTAACCAAATCCTAAACCAAACCCTAATCCAAACCCTAATTCGAATCCTAAATCCTAAATCAAACCCTAATCAAATTCTAAACCCTAAATCAAATCCTATCCAAATCCTAAACCCTAAATCAAACCATAATCCAAACCCTAAACCCTAATCCAAACCCTAACCAAACCCTAAACCCTAAATCAAACTCTAATCCAAATCCTAAACCCTAAACCAAATCCTAATAATTCCTACAACAGATTTAAACTTCAATAACTAATGAATAAACCGTCGATCTTAACTCAAATTTTGTATACTTCTAAAAAAATAAGTTAAAAACAAGCACAAAAAAATTGATAAGGATCGGAGTTACCAAATTGACGATATCCTCAAAAATGTGCTCGGGTATTGGCTAGCCTCCTTCTCCAATCTTGATGCCAATCCTCCAGAGCCAATATCTCTCTTTTGCACTGTTCGATTATTCTCAAAATTCTCATACACATAGAAAAACAAGTCTAATATCCTCTCACGCAAGTTTCATTCCAATCGAACTAGTAGATTGCAAGAAATCTCAAAAACCCTCACTAGACCTAAAATTCTACTTTCTAAGACCTTGACCCACTTAAACCTCAATATCCTTCAATTCAACCGTTAGATCGAGCTTAAATTCACAACACATATTGAACAAAACTATAAACATAAACCCACTAAATTTCACCCATAGATCTATGACAAAACTTTTGAAATCATCCAAAATATAAACCCTATTTTATTTCATAATACCCAAGTCATCTGAAACAAACCTTGACTTTGTAAAGCTATTACAAAGTCAATAAAAATTTAAATCACCCAAAACCAACACCCATAGAAACCCTATCCAATCTTCTATCAAACTCTACTCTTCGATCTGCCAAAGAGTCTTGGAGTTGTTGTCGAGACTCGATTTTGTGCCTTAGGGTCTGATTTCAATGCTAGTTCATAACCGGCCCTCTCCGGGTATCAATATCTAGTTTTTCTAAGTATTTTTTACTGGAATTTACTCTTAACTTCTTCCTTAAGATGTGTATACTATTTATTTTTCCAATCTACCTTGTTTTGCCTTATTTATGGCCCTACAAAGTACGTAGAAGTTATCTTTCTAAAAAGGCAGCATTAGTATCTTTAATTTTTCTACCCTTTGATTAATATCTATTTTTTCAAGATAATTTGCTACAATATTTTTGAAGTGAGATCCTCAAAACATGATATTTTCTTCACCCTTTTACTTGTTATCCATGTTACATCACAACAACACATGTGCCAAATGTCCAATCATTCCACATTTATGATAAGAACGCATTTCTAATTTTTATTTTTTACTATAATTAATAGTAGAACGTTTATTCTTTCCATATGGGTATAAATGGTCATAACTATGACTACCCTAATATTTATGAGCATGTTTTCCATGTTTATATAATTTTTTTTTAGACTTTGAAATATTAAGTGCATGAGATTTTGAAACTATGGTTCCAATAGGATGAGCCTCTACATAACCCCAGAGTAGTTCATTTTGCTTCTCTGCAAGAAGTAGATAGGACATGATATCAGAATGACTCTGAAATTTCATGTTCATGTATTGTTGTGCAAGCAGAGCAGATACAAGAGGAAATGTAAAGAGAGTTTTCTCAATCATTTCTTCTTCAAAGATGCTTTGTTTACATAATCGTAATTGTGAAACAATACTATACATTTCACTATTGAAAGCATTTAAATTTGAAAAATCCAAAAGACATAAATGTGTCCAATTATGACATGTATGTGGGAGGAAAATTGTCTTTTGATAATCAAACCTGGATTTAAGCTTCTCCCAAAGTTCTGCAGGATCTTCCATTTCCAAATATTGATGTTGTAATGCAGGTATAAGATGACAACGAAGGACAAGAAGTACTTTCCAATGGATAGCAGGACAAATAGAAATACTTATTGTAGGAGATTCTTCAAACATAATAGCATCTGAGAGTTGTTCTGCAAATAAATTTTCTTTTGCCATTTTTGCCCATAATAGATAATTGTCTCCATCCATAGTCAATGGTAGAAATAAAAGAGCTTGAAAATGTTGAGATGCATTGGTAATAGTTGGAACCATAGTAGAAGTAGTTGAAGATGTTGAAGCACTCATTATAAATAAATCTGTAAAGAAAATATAAGACCAAGTAGAAAAGTTGAATAAAATGTACCTTAAAATATAAAGTCAAATAAAATGATAAATTTAAATTTGAAATCAAAAAATATTAATTATTTATTTTATTATTATTATTTTTTTTTTAAAAGAGGTTGTGAATTGTGGCAATAGAGCAATAATAGGATGGCGGCGATAGTCAGCAATGGCGACAAGACAATAGCGATAAGGTAGCGACAAAAGCAGGGTGATGGCAGGGTCAACGGTTGTTGGCAATTAGTGGCAAGATTGGTAGCTATTTGGCGGCAGTCAGCGGTCAACGATGATGACAAGGCAATATCAACGGTAAGATCGGTGGCAAGCAACAGCGGCAATTTGGCAGTAGTTTAGCAGTAGGCGTGGGATGTAGCAAGGAGGCTGGGCTAGAGCAAGTATTCTAAGGAAGTAGGGCACATAGTAGAACAAGTGCTCTAAGCAAGCAGCTAGTGTATGAGGAGCCAACAAGAAGGGCAGCAAAGATCATGAATCAGACAAGGAGCAAGAGTAACAACAAGTTTGAAGAGTCAAGACTAGAGAAAAAAAAATTACGATAGTGTATAGAAGAGAGTCATGCTGATAACGTGTTGAGAATGTTTAGAAAGACACATGAGTAGTAGTAAGTAATACACCTACACACAAGAGTAGTAGTAAATAATACACCCACACACAAGAGTAGTAGTAAGTGATACACCCACACACAAGAGTAGTAGTAAATAATACACCCACACACAAGAGTAGTAGTAAGTGATACACCCACACACAAGAGTAGTAGTAAGTGATACACACATACACAAGAGAGTTTCTAAAGAGAGAGAGAGAGCTTCACCCAAAAGTCTATTAATTTGGTTGTGTCATATATATACAAAAAGAGAAGGGGAGAGAATAAACAGTTCCTCTCCACTACATTCCAAATACTGTAGTTATAGTATTTACTGTAAACTACAATCCAAATACTGTAGTTATAGTATTTACTGTAAACTACAATAAATATTATGGAGAGCGCAGCCTACAACATTTAATGCTCTGCAGCAGTAGGAAACATTTAATGCTCTGCAGTAGTAGGAAGGTTTATGCGACACAATTCTGCAAGGATTACCGACTGCCGAGTATGTAGGAAGGTTTCCTGCGACACAATTCTGCGAGGATTACCGACTGCCGAGTGTGTAGGAATGTTTCTGCGACACAATTCTGCGAGGATTACCGACTGCCGAGTGTGTGAGAATTGGTCAACTGGAATAAATGGACTTGGTCGCAGTGCAAGGTGGCGCAGTGCAACAGGATTGACTAAAAGCAAGAGGGACTTTGTAAAAAGAGAGTCATTGCCACTCTAGGGGGAGCTCAAGAGAGGGAGAGTCGCTCAATTGGAAAGCAATTTCGTCGTCACATGCCCTTCGGTCTGATCCCTAATGCAATAGATTTGGTCTGTTTTGAGTGTCGTTCAAGGTATATGTCCTCATCATGCTTCTCTCCTCAGTTCGCTTTGCTTTCCTGTTTAGTTTGTCTCGTTTAAGTCTTGGCTATGTGTGGGTTCGTGATTACACCAAGTATGCCGATCGAGAGTTAGCCTGGTCCAGGTGATTGTGGTACCACGAATCACATCACCGAACAACTTCTTCACCAACATTGTTTCATTGACTAGGTCTTCGCGTCTAGAGTTTGACATCACCACGAAGTCTGCATGTGGGAAGTGGATTGTGAGAGAGGCGGCTCAACCATTCTGGAGACGGCAAGGTTTGGGAGAGCATTTAGTACACTATCTTGAACACTGGGTCGTCTTCGTGGGGAAGAGATTTTGGAGTTGTCGGATTGGGAGTCCAATTTCTTTTCTTTTTTCTACGAAAACAGGGGAGATCCGTCAATGGAACCGCAAACTGATGGTATTTGTTATGATTTGCTTCTGACTGTTTGCAATGATGCACGGTTTGTTACAAGTGGTCGTTAAAATTTATGGGACTCCAAACCATAAGGTGAATAAGCATTGTCAAGGAGGATTCCAGAAATATCAGCAGTATTTTTGCTTTTACTCAAAAGTGGATCTCACATAAAATTGCATTGTCTGCAGAAGGTCTGTTACAGCGGCAGCACCGGCAGCAATGTGAGTTCATTTATATGTCATTTTCATTTACTGTATGAGCAGGAGCATCAATGCGAGTCGATATCATACGCTAGCCTCCAGTATCGATGTTGGCGTTGATGATTGTAAATCGGTTTGAAAGGATATTTTGCAATAGGGCCGAATACGGTAAAGCAGTGCGGCTGATGTTTGTTTTACTGCCGACTGCAGGTGGGCGGTGTGGATCTTATCATGGAGGGCCATGTGGTGCATTTAAACGAGGGGTTGCGCTGGTGTCATACTTGATTGAGCACTCTAACGGATTAACCAGATGGACCTTTGTTGATATGACTGTTCGTCTGCGGAGGCTCGCAAAAGTTCACGCTACGGAAGGCGCTGAAGATACAATTGATGGTGATGTGGTCACTGACACGTAAATCATAAACCCGATTGCAGTTGTGAAATTTCATGGTGTTGTGTACAACCAGCTCGTATGGTTCAAATCAACTATCACCGCCTGTTTGTAAAGGATCACAGAGTCAAGAAGTAGCTCAACTCGGTTTATTACTTATGATTGACACAACTTGTGTTTTTGGGAATGCAGGTTTGTGTTGGGGACTATGCTGTTTTATCACCAATGCGCAACTGCTGCATATGAGCTCAAGGAAGTTTTAAAACCAATGCTTCTAGACCCGAAGGAGGAGGTGCACGAAAAACACTCTTCACAAATCTTTGGATGCCCTGTTCATGCTACATATTAATGTCATAGTCTTGTCAAAATTGTGCATGTGTAACCTCCCACATCAATCTTATTTACGGCACGAATTTGACTCCTCCATCAAGCAACCGATATGCACGATCCAGTCCCTCCTTCAACCACTTCCGAAGAGAAACTTGGAAGTTGGAGTCCATCTCTACAGCTTGTTGTCAACTTCGTCGGGGATCAGAGATGCAACCTGGTGGAGGAATTGTTCGAAGAGCACTTATGACTGCGTATTATGTGCAAAGGAGGCTGAAACTTGGTTTTGTTGTTGGATTCTTCCAGATGTTCCTGCTCAAACTCACACCCGACGCAGGATTCGCGAAGCCTTCCTACTTCGTTGCAGTTGTTCATAGTCGAAGACTAGTGGTTCTCAGCATCCGTGGGTCATTTGAGGCTGCCGATTTGTTGACAGACTTCGTCCCTGACACAGAAGCCTTTCAAGACGGGTGAGTGCTGGTAATGCAGTCAGAGAATGTTACAAGCTGCGTCTTCCACACTTCTGGTTGGATTTGGTCACGTTCGATTTCATGCCTGTGGTTTTGTTATTAATCTGACGTTTGCACAGGATTGCCTGTAAGGGGATGCTCGACTCGGCGAGACATCTTCTGAACAAAGAGGCGTCCTTCCTGAGACACCTGCTCACAGAGCGATTTCCGGTATGCGCGTGAGTGAAGCTGTGCACATGTTCAACTCGGTTGTTTGCACATGCTGTAGTTATCAGTTGTTTGATGTCATATTGAGGTTATGAAAGCTTGGGTTCTCATGTGGGTTCAACAGGGTTACAAGCTCGTCATGGTGGGGCATTCCCTGGGAGGTGCTGTTGTTTCTCTCTTGACGATGCTTGTTTGCGGTGATCCCACAATCCTTGGCATCCCCCTGACGGCTGTGGAATGTTGGGGCTATGGGTGTGCTCCCTGCGTTGATAGAGGACTAGCCATCCATCCTCGCTACAAGAACATTCACAATGTCGTTCTGCAGGTTTGTTCATCTCATACATCCCAGGCCAAGGTGGTGCTTTTGTCTGAAATAGGTGAAACAAAGTTCCTTGAACTTAAAGAAGGGGCAGCCATCTTTGGGAACTTTTTGGAGGAGGGATGAAAGATTTTTGATCTAGTTTCCAGGGGAGGAATTGATTGTGCAGGATGATATCGTACCACGTCTCCATCCAAATAATATTGAGAGATTGCACTCCGAGATTCAAAATGTATCCGAGTATGGATTCAGTTATCTTTACTCTGTCCTTTCAATTTGTATTCAGAATCGAACCGCATGCCTCTGCAGCTTGGATTTGATGCCCTGTCTGTTTCCTTAAATCTGTAGTGCTTCAGTTCTGGATATGAGGTGTGCAGTTTCGGATATAGTGGTTCAAGCTTACTCTATATACATTTCTGGAAGCCTGATAGTGGCTTTTGGTCTACTGAATTCAGGAATCAGCATTCGAGGGATGGAACAGTGAAGGAGGTAGCTAAGAGGTTTGGACGTATTCTCGAAAAAACTTTTGATAAAGCAATCTCTGTTACAGCTGGCGGACTCATCCGTGAATTAGCCAGGAGAAATGCAGTGGCTGCGGAGAGACCCGATCTTGTTGTTCCTGGCAAACTCTACCACATCAAACGGAACAAACTCAGAGAGGAAGAGCGAGGCCCAGTTTCTTTGCCAGAACCATGTCAACCATTTAGCTTATGGGAAGGAGTTCAGGGTGATATCTTCAAATACAAGCACCATGTAATCCGTGGCACGAACCCTTCCCAGAGGTTTGGTAGAATCATTGTCTCCCTGAAGTCTGGGATGGATCACCTCTATAACAGTTATCGTGATGCTCTTGTAGACGCCAAAGTACGCTCTTAGTGACGCAATTTTGTAGAGAAATATCCGTACAATTAGAGTAGAAAACATAAGACTTTTCTTAAATTTGAGCAGCTGTTATATTCAAACCTGTCTGCTGAGCGGTGGAGAAACACTGTAGATGAAGCAGGTGCATGGTCCCCCTGAACTGGGCATTAGGGAACCAGGAGCCTTCGTGGTTTCATGTTCTATTTCCAGGTCTGTGACCTTGTAGCGATCAGCAAGCTCTGAACCATATCATAGGTGCTGCTCAGGTACCTTATTTTCATTTTCAAACTTTTTGCATAATTAGTACTAAGGCCCCTATAAAATGTTTCAAGGCTTTGTCTTCTAGGTTCAATTGTAAGTCTTTTTTCCTTGTGCAATTTTGCTGATGGACATTTCGCCCCTCCATTCATGTCGCTGAGCTCAACCATGACCTTGGAATACCCGTCAACATGCATCATCTTCTTTTGAGATGCTCCTGAAATTGCTATCTAATTCATAATCTCTCGTCACAGAGTACGCAATCGGTGAGGTGTCAAATAATAATTAAGACATGATAACTGAAAGTGCTCTGATGCAGCTCCTTGCAAAGTAATCCCCCTAAAACCATCCATTTTAGCTTGGGTATCCTCCATTGTTACTTAGTAGCACGGCGCCAACGTCGAACTCTGAGGCCGAGCAACTCCACTTTTCCCCACTATACTTAGCATGCTCATGCCTCGTTTACAGCTAACCTTTCCAGACCTGCCTCAAACTTGGCAATTCGTTCATCTTTCTCACAATAAGCACTTGTTCTTTGTCATAAGTAGATTGATATGCCTAAATCTGGGTGCCTCATCAATATATATACAAATATATATATATACATATATATACAAATATATGTATATCTTTTTACCACGACTTGTCGGTGATGTTGAAATTCCATGAGCTACTCGCATAATTTGTCACAAATTATGATAATCACCCTGCACTGTTTGTGTGTAGTACAATTTTTAACACTAGGCCTAACATGTACAATGGATGCAAGAGAAAAGGCACTTTTGAATGTCACAATATTCAAAAAATATGCAACGATAATAGCAGCAATATCACATCACTAGTCGAGTGCCTCTACTTCCCATTCCATCAAATTCCACACCAAGAGAGCCACAATCAGTGCATGAGTTCATTAACATTAGATTCTTCCACCACTTCAATCTATAATCCACATAATTCTTCAGTTTCATCCATAAACACTAAGTTCTAAACCAAGTTTGTTTTTATGATCTTTATCTTTTCTATTCTTTTCTTGAGTGGCTCACCAAGCAACTCATCCTTGTTATTAAGTCAAATCACATCTCAGCTAAGAATCGTTTTCTTCTCCTTAAGTAAGAAAATCTCATATCTTATTATCACATCTAAATATCTAACAAAAATATCCTTCTTTGCCTTTACATCAAGCTTTTGACTCCTTTCCTTTGATATATGATACCAAATAGGATAACCAAAACAATGAATATATTGAACATAATGTTTTTTTACTATAGAAAACTTCATGTGGTGTTTTACCACCAAGTCTTACAAGTAGAAGGCGATTGCAAATCCAAATCACAAACTTGGTAGGAATTACCCAATATTAACAATCTAGCTTTGCATTGTCTAGGAATGTTTGTACTCTTTCAATGATAGTCCACATTATATGTTTTGTCATGCCAACAATCTCATGTGTATAAGTAGGAATAATCATGTGTCAAATGCCTTCAACCTTAAAGTGAGAATCAAGCTTATAATTCAAGAATTCAATGCCTTAATCAATGAGAAAAGTTTTCACTTTTTTTTTTATTCTTTTTTGTATCTTTGTTTTCCAAGTCTTATAAGTAACATGTATCTAGTCTTTTGTTTGAAGAAATGCAAGGCCACAATAATCAAAGTATTTATCAATGTACATAGCTAATCATTTAGTGCTACCAAAACTAATTATATCAAAATAACCAAGATTGGATACTATTACATCTAAAATACCACTAGTATGCTTATGCTTCTATGTAAAAGGCTACCTATGGATCTTACCAAAAATGCACAATTCATATGTAAGTACCTTATCCTTTTCATCTTTGGTTTTTAATCCTTCAACATTATTCATTTGCTCTGCCTTTTGTATTGTATGCATCAAAGTATGTGCTAATATTTAATGCCATTCAATGAATGAATGACTTAAGATAGATAAATTAATAATTGCGGCAACTTCTTTAATTTCATAATGCTTAAGATAAGCTTTGTTGTTGAATGTATTTTATGTGAGTAAGTCATTTGAAAAAAAAAAAAAAAAAAAAAAAAAAAAATCCAATCAATTCTATTTTCATCCAAACAAAATTTGCAATCTTTCTTACATAAGGTTACAAGTAACAAGAGAATAACACATACTCTAAGAATCCAATGTACGTCCTTTATAATTATATTAACATATTTGCCTTTAGGTCCAAAACTATGAGATGTATCTCACTTGAGTATTGTGATTTGTTAATGCTACTATTATAGCTTTGAAGTTGGATAATAGAATACTGTACAAACCATGTAGTATTATTGAACACTAACAACCATAATGCAAGTGTCTTCTTTGGCCAAGTCAAACTTACATTTGCCAACTCAAGCTTCAATGTCTCAAGCTCATGCAAAATCCTATCCTTTAAGTGATGACCATATCCATAATGTTCCATTTCCACTCACTTTATCTAAGTTGAACATCTTTAGGAGATAAATATCTAAATATAAAATTTGAAAAAGTCCAAATTTTGCTTTTTGCATCTTCACTTGTTTTGATTGCATAAAGATGATGATTGTGATACATACAAGATGAAGATGTATTATATTAAACAATACAAATATGTTTATATATATATATATATATATATATATAGATGAATTTCAACAAAAAAAGAAAGTTTTTTTTTCTAACATTAAGAATTAAATATTAGGTTCTATTTGTATCAAAAAAAAATTAATTACCACCCATGTTCAAGTCTTTAGTTCTTACTTTGTTTCTAAAATCTAAGAATAGATATATTGAAGTATCTTCTATAATTTTTTGAAAGCATTTGTAGACCTCCATAATCACCTAAGATTTTTCCTTGTCTATTTGGAGTATCTAAAAAATCTTCTTTCAACTTTTAAAATATTCTATAAGTCTTAATAGTTATTATAAAAGTTTCTACATGACATGATTGCTGTGATGTCAGTGAAAAAGTAAGATAAAGAATACCTTAGATTTGCCAATATAAATTTAGAAACAATAGAAATATTGTCTTCTTTCTAATTTTATATCAAATTTTGTTACTAAAGTCTTTTTCTTGAAATTTATTTTTGGCACTATTTTTTTGTCTTTTAGAATATACATATTAATTATATTATTATCTAAGTACATAGCATAAAGATAATTAAAAAAATTAAGTAAACATAATACATAAAATATTATCAAATATAATTATTAAATAAAAATCTAATATTTATAGAATAATATTTAAAATTCTATTGTAACTTGATATTTTATAAATGTATAATTACAAATGATAAAGCACAAAAAATTATGACATCTTAAATCATTGTTTATTTTAATTATATTATTTATATTTTTTAAATAAGATAATTTTGTTTTTACAATGTTTTTTTTATTATGATAAGTAATATTGTATACTAATACAATATAATTTTTATTTAACCATACCTAAGATCTATAAGAATTTGTAAATTTTTTCAAATTTCAGCTATAATATTTTATTTTATTTTTTAATTCAGGATTATTTTATCCCCTAAAGCATCATGATTCATGAATACAAAATAAAACAAAAAAATATTATCATATGAATAAGTACACTTTTAGTTTGAAGATCTAATTAATAAATTACTTTCATATAAGTTCATTTGAACAACATAACAATACCATTTCTATATGATTCAATAGAAGTATGATCTTAAATGTGTTATGTACAAAATAAATATTTTAAAAATCTATTTATGTAAAACAGGTACATGTTCTGAATATCTTGTCTCAAAATAATTTATTTTCATGTACTATCAAAAACATCAACTTATAGAATAATTTCATGATAAATTTTACTGTAAATATAAACATATAAATATATTCATGAAAATTTAAGTAGATGCAAAAATACATTTAATACATTGTTACCAGAAGCTAATCATTTGAAGTTATGTAAAACCAATCCATTGTACTATCCTTAGATTGCTTGGTTCTTGCTAAAGCTATGCAATTCATTGTAAAAAAAATGTAATCCATTGTTAAAAAATAACAATAAGTATTAAAAAAATGTTCAAAAATTCACAAAAATAAAGAATAAAAAATAATTCCAATTTCTATTTAAATCATAATTTTTTATAGCAAGAAATATCATATTTTCAAAATATTTTTAAAAGTTCATCCAAATATCAACAAAAATAATTCCATGTGAATTTTAAGTTTTCTTACCATAAATTTTAATTTAATTGATATCAATTGACCTCTTTTTTTTAATGTATGCACATGTATTTATTTATTTATATGTACATTCATACATACAAACAACATTGCTAAATTCATATATATATATATATATATATATATAAATTGCTAAATTGATCCATGCATTTACCAAATGGACCCACCTATCATCATTGGTGGTGGATCCAACCATTTTTTCATTAGTTTTCAACCACTAGAGATCCAGTATTGGAAAGTTTTTTTTTTCTGATGGTTAGGATGTGTGGGTCAATTTAGTAAATACTTGGGTCAATTTAACAATTCCATATATATATATATATAAATTAATATATTAGAAGAGAGATGTATGAATTTACAGAAATATTATTAATTTAGAGTTTATACGCATTAATTGTATTTTTATGCCAGTTTGTTCAGAATGAATGCTTGGGTTGAGGTCTGAGCCAATCGAGGAGAGTCGATAACTCTTTTTTTTTATTCCGTTCTAAATATATATTAGAAAACTATTCTTCACAGCCTCACACGTGGCACCTTGACGTTAAATATGGAAAGTATCCTACAGACGATCGCATGCCGCCACGCGGGTGACATGGGGCCTGCGAACCATAAAGCCACCGTATTTCGAGAACTTCCAGATGGGAACTTTGGGAACTTTGGGAATAGATTTGAACCTTTCCAGTTTGAACCATAGGTTGGCCATCGCTCGCGTCGGATCAGCGCGATGCATGCTTTGGAGGGATCGGATCGAGGCCATTGTCGATCGCTTAGTCGACGCAATTGAAATCGGGGTTGCGAGCTATAAATCGTTCGTCTCGTTACATGTTCAGGGAGCCATTACTCGTGGCCTGAGTCGAAATATTGTGGAAGAAAACGCGTGTGCGGTGAGTTTGAAGCTTTGGAGCAAACAGATTTCCATCTCATGAAGCTGACTCTGTTCGGAGTAAATTAGATTGCTTATGTAGATAGTTTTTGGCTGGTGAAGATTCTGCAGGCAATGCAGGACTTCACCGAAATTAGGTTCTTCTTGTATTACTCTTTCTTCAAATGTTTTGTGTTTTGGTTCTGTTGTTCTCATTTTTGTGTTTCAAGGATTGTTGCTTTGTCCTGTGGTTTGATGTCGAACGGGTCGTTGTTGTGACTGCAGTTGGTCCTCGGAAGCGCATTTTGAGAAAGAGAATTGAGAAAACTAGGGAGAAAAGGAGGTAGTTTCAGCTCTTTTGCGGCCATTGGCTTCTTGCCGTTGTGTGTTGCCAGGAGTCCAATGGCGTCATTGGATGCGAATGGCAGTGCCCCTCAGCTAGCTGCGCCTATTAACGACCGAATTGAGAATTTTAACAAGCTGAATTGGAAAGGGAAGTTAACAGTGTCCACCATCGTGGTTTGCGGCCTCGCCGCGGTTTCGCTGGCGGGAGTAAAACTGGTGCGGGGATTACATGGGGGAATGAAAAAGGTTGTTTCGAACAAGGGGGGTGGCCAAGGGGGTGATGATAGTTCCCTGGCTTTCAACGTGGTTGCGAAAGGATTTTCAACCGTGCAGTCCCATATTGGACCTTGGTCCTTCGAGGATCTTACTCTTGGTCTCGCGGCCATCTCGAAGGTTTGACATATTGCCCCTGGTTTTTGTAAATTCCTCTTACTGCGCGAAAGAAGTAAGGATTCGCCTGTAAATAAAATTCTCACATGATTCAGAAAACCGAAACTCTTCAGATTGGTACCGATTGTGCAGATTAGAAAAGTGGACCACGGGGGTTTTGGTATTTTTCCAATTCTTTGAATTCTTGCGCAATTACATTTCCAGTTCGACATTTCGTATTTGTATTGATTTGAGGTTGAAATGAGTCAACCATAGTGCATGTCTCTTACCCGCAACATGGGTTTTGTTTCACGTTCTGTCATGACAAGAATTCACTTCGCCCGGTCAATTCCAATCCCTGACAATTCTTTCGCGCGTCCAATATGTTGCAACGCTTCAGGTGACAGAGAAAGGACCTCCTCATCCACCAGGTCGACCATGCAAGGAAATTGCTCAGAATGCCAACTTCTTGGCGCGGGTGCAGCACTGGCGATCGATGGCTGAAGCAGCTTACACCTGCGACCCCGCATCGTTTTCATTGCAATCCCAGTTGCCGGAATCAACCATTGTTGCAGCCGAGTGGAATCCATGCCAGAATACGCTTCGGCCGGCATATGTTGTCTGCATTGATGGTCCTTATGGCGCTGTCGTTCTGTCCATTCGCGGCACTTCACAGGTGCTTAAAGCTCCTTGCATTTTTATTGTTTTTTCTCTTTTTGATTGAGAGAGTTACTAGAAGGTTGCATTCACTGTGTGCGTTTGAACCTCCACATTCGAAGAGTCGTATACATTCTTGGATTTTAGACGTGCGCATTCGGAGCCATGATATACGAAATTTCACTTGAGGATACCCAGATACACTTAATTTATAATAGTATACAAGACTATGCAAACCTCAAGAGGTGTCAAATATGTCTTTCTAACAGTATTTGTTCTTGGTCTAGATAGTAGACATGCTCGTGAATTCGGGGACATCAGCGGAACCTTTTCGTGATGGCCGGGCCCATGGAGGCTTTGCTAAAGCGGCGGAAAGCTTGGTGCAACAGGTAGTTCCACACATCAAGAGAGCATTCGAGGAACAGTCGAAGAGCCAAAAAAATTTAAAACTTGTGATCACTGGACATAGCATGGGCGCTGCGGTTGGAGTCATGGCAGGGATGAAACTGAAAGAATCGTCCGAATTTTCCAACCTTGAATGCTGGGGATTCTCAACACCAGCTTGTGTTACCCTGGAACTTGCGAGGGGGTGTAAAGATTTTGCCACAAGTTTTATAGCGCACCATGACGTTGTACCACGTTTCTCGATCACTTCTGTGGAACGGTTGCGGAAGAGAATTTGTGATTTCGATTGGGATCATGCTGAAAAAGTTGCGGGGGGAGATGATGATTGGTGTAACATTAAATCAGTAGCTGAAAAGTTGAAATCAGCTCAAGAGACGTCGAAAAAGATGTCTAACTCAATAAAAGAAGCTGAGGAGGAGCTTGGCAAGCAGGTACAAAATTTCTCTCATTGACAAACTCCTTTGTGTGGTATAACGGTCTGCTGTGATGGTAGTACTCCCAACTGCCATTGTTCTCTAGTATTAATAAGAATGTGGAATGAGTGTTGTATCGACATGTGGATTTGATGTCGACAGGTAAAAGGTGTATCTGAGAAGATTGGGGTTCCTCTTTGCGAGAACAACAGCACAGATGAAGACTCTGAAGACAAAAACAGGAACAAAGAGGAAGAAAAGGAAGAGGAAAAGAAAGAACATCCTCCACTCTACCCCCCTGGAAGGCTCTTTGTTCTTACTGCGGATCCCCCCGGAAGTGGAAAGATGCCTGAGGACCGCAGTGGTATTCCGAGTTCACGATCCTCGGGTACTTACCCTACATTTGAAGAGGCCAAAAAGGTGACCTGGACATTGAACGAAGCAGATCAGGAAGACTTGGAAGAGATTGTAATTTCCCCATGGTGCGTCTCAGATCATATGCTTGGCAACCTTGGGGAAGGAATAGGTTATCTGCAACGTCATTGTCAACCTGCATTTGGTGGCCCTCCTCCCTTGTAAGACCAGAGACTTAGTTTTGTTTTAAGATGAAAGCAAAGTGAGCATGTGTTTTTGTGAGTTTTATAGCGCTTCATGTACCATAGTAGCTTCCATGTGAAGATTGTAGAATATGAATATGATCCCAACTTTATTTAATGTTCTTCAATTCAAGAGATTTTAGATACATTATTACTGTCGAGTCCGATGCGGGTCTCATCCTTGTTTTGTATCCAAATGCTTCACATCATCTGCACAGTCAAGTAAGCATTCGAACATGCAATTCCACTATCCGAGCGGGAGCTATCCATCTATTGTCATGCAATTCGAATGATTGCCTATCATCCTGTCTGTAAAAGAAACTATTGAGGTATGCTACGCTGTTCTAAATCAACAAATGTCTGACGAAAACACAGCATTCGATACTGTGCGGACTGTGGGGCTCTGACAGGATTAAAACTTCCTCCCATTGTTGATATTCTACTTGTGCGAAATTCCAAGAAATGGCAAATAGTAAAGAATAGACAAAACAAAAAATGAATACAAAAACAAACAAACAAAAAGCACCATACTAATCATGCGTTAACAGCCCAGTTTAACCATTTCAAGATGTGTGACAGCATTCGTGAAGTGTAAGTGCTGATAAGAAGTCGCTTGGGGACAATGGTAGGAGGCCTGGATCTGACTGCAGCAGGAGACGGTATCTCATCCTGTCTCCTCTTCGTAACTTTTTAACCATAATTCTCGAGAATAAATGGGCTTTGCCTGTAGGATGGTGCGAAGTTTGCTACGATGCCAGGTTTAGGAATATGAGATTCTGAATCAGGCTGCTTCACTGTCAGGAAAAGGACAAGCCTGAGCAACTTTTGATGTCGGCTAGCGCTTTATGCACACAAGATTTTATTTTTATTTTTATTTTATTTTTTGCGGCATTTCAACTATTTTCTTTTTCAAATAATTTACCTCATTTCAAACATCATTTGGGATATGACTAAAAGTATCATGAAACCACAAGGAGAAACTCTATTGTTCTAGTAGATTTGCAACTCTTTTCTAATTTCTAATGTTTCTTAGATTAACAAAGAAATATCTCATCTATTTAGTAAAAATCTTATCTCTATTAGAAGATTGAAGATTTTTTGTAAGTACTTTCTCACATCATGCATTTATAGTCCTAAAGCTTTGACTATAAATTATTTCTTTCCTTAACAATATCTTCCCTTGCATAATTGATCTTATGACATCTTTGCTAAGTTACGCCAATTATGCTGCAAATTAATTTTTGTGTTGTCTTCTTCCAAATAACCATGCAATAACTATGTAGCTAGATAAATAATTCATTTTTTCACATAGTATGTCTTCATCTATCTCAATAGACTTAAGCTCCAATTAAACTAAGAATCTTATTGTAATGACTTGCAATGCTACTTAAATAAATAGAAGTAAGTAAAAGTAGATAGAAATATATTAAGTAGATAATAAATCTATTATAAAAGTTTAAAAAAAAAACTGTGAATATGAAGTGTATCTAATATTTAGGTTAATATAGATATGCCACATGGCTTTTAAAATATATACTATAAGTTCCATATTTTATGAAGTGTATTAGAAGAAACCTACAACTTGATACATAGGCTATAAGCCTTGTAGTCAATAGGAAGCTTTTACAAGACCTTCTTGATAATTAATATATATAAAGGCAATATTGAGACCATTCTCAATCTTATTAATATTTTAATTTTATTCTTATCTTTCTTCAAGATACTCTAAACTCTTTATAATTGAAAATAGCCATTATGTTAGGGACATATTCCTTAGAACTTTCTAGAGAGAAGTTTCTAGAACCTTCTAGAAAACAAGCCTCTAGAACCTTCTAGAAGAGAAGCCTCTAGAACCTTTTAGAGAGAAGTTTTTAGAAGCTTCTAGAAAGGAAGTCTCTGGAACCTTCTAGAAGAGAAGTTTCTAGAAGCTTCTAGAAAGAAATCCCCTGGAACTTTCTAGAAGCTTCCTAGTTAATAGAAGTAGCTCGAGAAGCTTCCTAAGTAGGAATATATATAGGGATCGAGGCTGAAGAGTTCTTCAGTCTCGACAACACATCTCTTGGAGTTCTAGCTCACCTTTCTGGTGTTGTTCTTGTACTCATCTGTTTAATCTAGTTCTGTCACTTCTTCTTGAACTTCTTGTTAGATTTCAAGTCTGTATTTTGTGTCCGTGACACATTATAATTTTCTTAATCTTATATATATATATATATATATATATATATAGATGTATTATATTCAAAGTTTTGTCTCTATTCATATCTTTGACATTTACAAATTTATATAGATATCTTATAGGAAGTGACTTATTAGGTAACTTTTTGGTAGAGTGTGGTTTTTCTTTGCTTTAAAAAATTGTGAATGTTTTCAATATTCTCTTCTCTTATTACAATGACATTGACACCATACTCTTTCTATTTAATTTATTACCCTTTATTACTATTGGTTGTCCATTTTATTAAACCATCATTCCTTGACTTGATTTGCATAAGAATTTACTTTTCAAAATCTTAAGAATAAGTTTAAAGAAACAAAAAAAAAAAAAAAAAAAAAAAAAAACTTATGACATCTACTCTATAGGAGTGTTCACTATATCTACCTTTCTTTGGTAGAAAGAAATAATTATGTATTTTTTAATAATATAAATTAATTTTTAAAAAACACTATAATATTAAGGTAATTTTAGGTTTATTTTTTAAATAAAAATATAATTTGATAATTTTAAATACTATTTTATTTTTATAAAAAAAAATTAAAAGCCAATAAGATATACAAATAATGTTAATTAAATTATAAGAAAAAAATTCATACATAAAAAACCATAAAAAATAAAGATGAAACTAATTTTAAAAAAATAAATTTTAAAATTTTTAATGTAAGAATTTTAAAAGATTTCATATATGTATATAGATATATATATATATATATATATATGAATATATATAATAAAATAATTTATTATCTATAAATTATAAGTATGAATTTGTGGCATTAATGTGTTAAAATTTTGATGGTCAATTTGATAGTTGATAAGAAATAATAAACAAATAAACAAAGTAAGCTAACTAAACAAAACAAAATGCTCATTTCGTACAATTTATTCCAAAACAAGTTTGCTATATAAATAAATATTGTTACATACAACACATTGAGTGCTATAAATCAATCACAAAGTATGCATTCTAAATCAAGTATAAATGCATAACCAACACACTTTTAAGGAAAGATGATGAATCTAAATACAAATAACTTTAGCTATCTCTCATACCACAAAGGAGGAATCCAAGAGTGCAAGTGAGAGTAGAGGAAAACTATAAAGCTTTACTAAATGGCTAAATCATCATAGCGAAGCAAACCCTTTCAACATAAGTTTTTTTTCTCTCAAAATTACTCAGAAGATTTGACTTGACAAGAATGTTAAATCAAGGAGGTGTCTCCACCTAAGTCCTCAAACCCTAATTGACATTAACAAAGTCAAATATTGAAAAAAGCTCAGTGGGTTGAAAATCACTAAACCAAACAAAAATACGTACATCTGATGGGATTTGATACCCAATGCCACATTACATGGCAAGTTACTTAGATTTATTTTTATAAAATATTATAATAAGCAAGGGATTTTACAAACTTAGATATTCATTCTGAAAGCCACAAAGTAAAAATAAAAACCGTTTTTGTTGCAAAAGAATAAAAAATGATTCTCCTATCATCATATTCAATCATCCATCTAGCTTAATGAGCAAACGTGGGAGCCAGCTGAAAATCTCGCCAACGCGTCGCAAAAGGTACAGGAGTTTCATCAACAAGATCTTCATAAACCTAAGTCGGTTCGACAATAGCTTCCTTCTGAAGCTTGCTTACCTAAGAATATAAGAAAGGGGGAGAGCACCACCAAAATTCGTAGTTGATGTAGTTATTTTCTCCAAGATAAAATAGAATTTTTTCAGTAGCTATAGTTTGGTCTTCTGATATGGATAGCCAAGAGATAGATACTATGCCAGTCAGATTATCTCAACCGACTAGCTCACAAAGGTGACCCCGAGATGGAGAACTGCCTACACCACGATGACGACGGACGATATCGAGTAACCGATCACTGGTGATTGTATTTGAGTCTGAGCCTGCTTACGATGGTCAGCCGGAAGGATTGTTTGCCGGACAATTTCATAATGAGGACACGGAAGTTCATGCTTGGTCAGAAGTTGAAGGAGTGGGCCACTACCGTGGGCTTCAAGGGCCAATGATCCACTTGCCTCGTGAACAACAGTTGGAGTTCATAGCAGACGCTATATGACAGATCTTCATTTTCTTATATTGGTACTGATCAACAACATTGCTTCTCAGAGACCTCGAAGCTAAAAGAGGGGGTGATGTTAGGAACATAATCCTTAGAACCTTCTAGAGACAAGTTTCTAGAACCTTCTAGAAGCAAGTCTCTGGAACCTTCTAGAAGCTTCTTAGTTGGTAGAAGTTGCTTGAGAAGCTTTCTAAATAGAAGTATATATTGGAATCGAGGCTGAAGAGTTCTTCAGTCTCGACAACACATCTCTTGGAGCTCTAACTCACCTCTCTGGTGTTGTTCTCATCTGATTAATCTAATTCTTGTCAGTTCTTCTTGAACTTCTTGTTAGATCTCGAGTTTGTATTTCTGTGTCCGTGACACCTAGTCGCCACTTAAAACCCTAGCCGCCACCTTGGTAACTTTCCTTCATCATTGTGTTGTCTTTTGACCATTAACAGCTTATTTAAGATAATATATATATATATATATATATATATATATATTCATATATAATAATTTAGCAAAATAGAAATATATAAATACATAATTGACTCAATTTATTTACTTTGCTATTACATTATTAAATCACATAATTTTGTAGTTAAAAAATGACAAAACTCTACTAGTATAAGTTACTGCTTATAAATCAACAAAATCAAACTTCTATTAAGATAGTAATAAAACATTGTTAAACTCATAATTATAAAACAATAATTACCAAACAGCGAAAAATAATTATTGATCTTTAAATGCAAGACTGCCCCTTCTTGTGTAGCTTTGTTCACATTCACATTCTCTATTCACATTCATTTGTGTTCTATTTTGGACTTAATATATAATAAGTAAGACAACTTTTTTTGTATCACTTAGTATATAACAAGTAAGAGAATTTGTTCTATATTGCTTAATATATTATAAGTTTGTCAATATCCTATAGTAATGTGACCTGCATACGATGTACAAATAAATAAAATAAAATAAAATAAAAATTGTTGCAGATAATAATGGTATTCTATTAAACTTTTATTTAAATTCACCCTCCTCTGCTTTAATGTATCTGTTTGCCAAAAAACATTTGTAATATGTACAGATGTTAGTATGAGTGTTTGTTTTTATTTCAATTGTTTCTTCGAAGTAAAAACTTCTTCTACATGGATTCAGCATTCAAAATCCTCTAAGAAAGTACCGATAATCATGTAGGTGGCGAATTAACGAAACCCAGTTCCACACAGACAACAGGACTCATCGAAGCATTAGTAATTTCTTTTTAGTTTTTTTTTAGTTTTTTTAGTTATTTATTTATTTATTATTTTTTTTAATACATCAAACAGCATCCTATACTTCTACCCGCTTTCCGAAAGGAGCAGCACACGATGCAGAAGGGAACGCTATGTATAAAAACACCACCTTTGGTACACGGGAAGAGAGTTCTGTGTCGGCACTTCTGCTGCATGCAAACTCTCTCGATCCATTTGTTGTTGTTGTTGTTGTTGTTGCTATACTAACAAGCAGTAATCACAGCGCTACCCTTTGAAGTGATATATACACTTAAGGTTTCTAGACACTGCACTCACAAGCCCTACTAATCCTAAGGTTTCGTCGAGAATACGCACAGTTTTTTTTTATATACAGTCGGTGGCGGGTCGACGGAAAACCTGGTGTCGGCCGACTGCCGCCCCGATCATGTCTTTGTCTTTTGAGTGTCTAAATGATGCTACTAGAACAAGTGGTCGCACCTGTTGTGTGGACGTTTGGGCAGGTGGATGGATGTCAGGCACGGAGAGGAGCTCTGTGAGGAATTCCCTTGCGGCGTTTAGCGATTCGGAGGACGTTGGCGCGAGGCGGTGTTCTCGGCGACATGTCGACCACGAGAACAGGCAAGGAGCTCGTCGCGCGGTGGAGGTGCTCTGCACTACATGCTGGTGAGGGCAGCAGGCCCGCCTCGACGCGCTGCCATGGTCGTCGCTTGTTGCACGCCGCGTCCTCTGCTGTTTCGTGGTCGGTCTCTTCTGATCCCTCGATGCTTGTGTGGGACAGGAGCGAGGTCTGGAGCTGAGACACTTTCCTTGACCGTGGAGCCTTCTTGTGAGTGGACGAGTCTTCGGAGTCGGAAAGCACGCGCGAGCTCGGACTGAACCAACCTTGAGGCTTTGGCTGTAGAATGAAGGACAGTTCCTTGTGTCTTTTAATTCCTGCAAGCTGGCAAGGACAGGAAATGCGACAATGGTTACAATGGCATCTGAGTTCAAGTCAGCATTGACCCTAAAGAAGTGATTCGACTTTTCTTTCCCTCTTTCTTTTTTTCGACGTTAACGGAAGAAAGCGGTTTGAATATTTCCTCAGCCACCTGTTGTCCCGGATCATCTACACTCCTCGATTCCATGCGAGAAACTGCAGCGAGTTAGGAAGGCAACAAGGGCTCCCTTTGGGAATAGCTTAAAGGCTGCTTCGAAAGCACAGCCTGATTGACCCTTCGAAGTGACGACAAAAAAGTGGTATGATTGTGGATTGCTTTGGAGACAATGACAGAAGAAGCAAAAAACATGGCTGAAATAATTCTCTACCTTGCATCCCAAGGAGCAGAAGCGAAAAGTGTCGAGAAGGCTCCGTTCACACGTCTCGCACGTATTTGTCACGCCTTTGGCCGGTCGTGGCTGGGGCCGTTCATTTAGAAACACCACGCGAGCACTGTTAATAATGTAGGTCTGGACGGTGGAGATGTCCAATAGCTTCTGAATTTCAGAAACTCGAATGACATCGTGGTATGACGATCGTCGAATCTGCAGGGAATGTCGAACATAAAGAATGTCATAAACCAAGCCTTCAAAACGATCACTGTTTCGGATCTCATTCAGGACAATTACTGTAAAAGAAGAACAGGTTCCATGTTAAGCACGAGGATGTTCCATCACTTCCATTTCACAGGTCAGTTGCAAGATTTATGTCCATCGCCCGAAAGTCGTGATCAAGGACTCCAGCAAGTTCAGGGAGCTAACACCCAGAAATCGTCCTAGATATGAAACTTTTCGCACCTGTACAACGTGATGGTCTTTGTGATCCACAGCGCAAGACGCACAAATGCCATCTCCCATGCATTTGAAGCAAAATAGGTTGCGCTCGCTCTTCGCAGAAACACCATGCAGTGCGCAAGTAGCGAAGAAATCAGCTTTCAGCAACGGTTTCAACCATACGGGTCCCTCAACGAGACTGACGTCTCCTTCCTCCATCACCTGTCCTCCCTGCAGTAGTCAGAGGTGCCATTTTGAGACCTCGTTACAATTAAAAGTGAACGTTTTAGCGAAGTAACAAAATTCTCCCTTTCATTCATATTTTCACCAATGTTCAAATTGCATTGATATCCTCAAAGGGCTTCAAAGACTCTTAAACCGACAATTAAGCAGTAATCGGCATAATTGAGCCTGAAATTAGCGGGGAGAGAGAGACTAGCAGCGCAATTTGCAAATGCATGCAGTCTGTTAACAAGGATCATAGACGTGCGAATTGGGGAGACTGCCTGCAATAAGACTTTTGCAGCAAATGCTTTTTTATGTACCAAGACCAGGTCAAAGACTCTTTCGACAGGTTTAAAGAGCGACCCACAACTGGATCGGCAGGCATCACTGAGCCCGCAGATTCCATGATTTTAACAACCTTCTCAAATGTGGTACTCCCCATTACACTAATATGGCAGAATATAGAAAGATTCCAAGCATCCGACTAGTTTACTCGTTCACGATAAGTCTCGATTCTTTGGAGCAGTGATGGGGAAAAGGTCACACAAGCGACAAACACATGCTTGCATGACCCAACAGTATTCTCTAAATGAAATTCAGTGGTTTGAGGAAAGAGAGTGCACACCATGCTCGTCGTCCTCTTCGACTTGAGGGAACCGGGAGACTCCGGCTGTGTTGCCTTGATCGCCAGCTTTGCCTCCTCACCTCTGTCGACCACGCTTGTCGTATGGGCTGGCAATGTGGCAATAATGAATCAAGGTTTTCTCAGCCTCACCTCACGGAAAGTCGGCCCAAGGGTCCCAGCGTTTGCTAAAGGATATATATTTCTATATATATCTATATATTTAAAGACAATTGAAATAATCTCCCTTGATTGCCAGGTTCTGAAGCGAATTCTGCACTTTCAGGAGTTGTAACAGAGCAAAATTATGAGACGAATTGCACTTAAGAAGCGCTGTTTTTCACTCTTGTGTTTTTTTTCTACCTTCGATTACTTTGCTCCAAAGGTGAACGAGAGGAACGATAATCGTGCTGCTGGCTGAGGTGGTGCTCCTCCGATGTCCATTGTTTTAAGTTCTGAGAAACTCAAGTGATGGTGCCTATCAGCTCAAGGAAAATGCATTTCGAAAAAGTTCTGACTCAAGATAACACAATGCAAAGAATAGCGAATGTCCTAGTACAATACCCAACGAAGGATCACAAACGTTTGCTTCTGAATTCTTTAGCGATTCCTCTGCGGCGCAAAACAAGCAAGTCGGATTCTAAGCTCTTGATCAGCAATGCAGGAGTCTGACTACAGCGAGGAAGTGAATCAGCAAGACGACTTTGAAAATAGGTGTCGCTCTCTCTCTCTCTCTCTCTCTCTCTCTCTCAATGGTGGCCCAAAGGGATCAGCCTGGTCACGAATCCAACATGAAACACGTCTCAATTACACTCAAACGCTTCCCTTCTGCGATCCCGCCACACCAGTCGCACGCCCACTGAACCGACAGAGAAATTCGATTCTTAAAGAGACCCACACTAATGGTGCTGGGGTAGCGCATACCCACAATACAGCAAGAACTTCTGCAGCGAGTCTGGAAGGAACTCATCAAGAGGCTTGTCATAAACTCACGGAGGTCATTCAAACTTCATGACGGGCGACAGCGACAGATAAATTTCGGAGATCGACGGAAGCATCCTACCTTACAACATCCAAATCGACGCAATGAAAAAGAAAGTTAGACTGCACTGTTCCGTCGATCCGAGCGAAGTTGTGGGCAGCTTCTCAAGGTAAGGAAAGCCGGCTACTATACACAAGTCAAGGAGAAGAGTCTGCCGCAGGAGCAGCTGTAGGAATCAAGGTGAATTCCCTGGTGTAGGACACAAGTGACGAGGGGGACAGGAAGGGCGGCACAAGTAAGACCAAGCAACCGGTGATGCATCTAATGGCGGTCTAGGAACTTGCTCTGTATGATGGCATGCCTACCCCCTGAGCTAAACGACGATGACGATGACGACGCCGGTGATTGTGGCATTGGAATCGACAAGGCAATGATCATCTGCGTGCGCGAGTGATTCACGCCATATCCGAAGCAAAGGCCAGCGTAACACAGTTTCTTATCGTGCACAATCGAAGCATCAAAGGTGGTGTAAAAAGAGGTGCATCTGGGCGAAAGATGCAGATAATGATCAGACGTGGTGTAGAGAGCGTCACCGTGTTGACCAAGTTACGTGTGGGGCTGGGGTAGCGCTCGGCCAAGCCCACCACCACCACCACCCTGGCCCAGTGCTGCTGCAGCCACAGCGTGCTCCGAGCGCACCCGGTGCACCAAAGGCGACCGCGACCCCGGCGTCCCACGCTCCCTACCATGGCCATACCCATCTCCCTCGCACCAATCCCTCTCCTTCCATCGTCCTTCCCTCCCCCACTTCGCAAACACAATCCTCACACACACCAAACTCTTCCTAACCCTCCATTTCTATCATGACATCCATACTTCAAACGTTTTCCGAACCACCTCGTCGTAACTTAGAAAATATATAAAAATATATAAAAAACTTAAATCACATGTATGTGTATGTGTGTTCGTATATATATATATATATATATATATATATATACACATTACACGCTTAAGGTCAATTCCATGACTGGTGTGTGAAACTCTCTCCCTCTCTCTCCTTCCTTCTCAGACTTCAAAGTGCTTCAGGATCACCACAGGATCACACCTTTTCCATCATCGATTACATGATCGTGGCACCTAGGATGTTGTGGAATCTTGTCCAACGGAGATGGAAGTTACTCGAGGAAATCATGCGCGGGTGGAATCTTCCCTATCACCACCACTGGCGAGAAGCGGTCATAGCGTCCGTCGTAGGCTGTGATGGGGGTTGGGGGGATAGTCTGCATGACTCTCCGACTGACCACACAGCCAGGGCTCGCAAACCTTTCGTGTCCAGACAGTTGGGTGTCTGTGGTGGTGGTGGATCATGATGCTCGCTGTGGCCTCCTTCGCACGCGATTGTGGGATCCCAAGAGCTCGTGCTGTTTTGTAGTGGAGCAGCCCCGTCGCAACTTGCGTGAGCCGGGGTTTTGTTCAGCGCTTGAAGCTCGAGGAGCTGCGTCCCGAGCCATGTCTCCGTCGCAGCTCGCGACGACGGCTACGACTACCGCGGTCACGGTTATGGGCGGACACTGGCCTATGACCACAAGCTGAGGAAAATGGATGAAAACATTGTTTGGGCTTTCCATGAGGACTTCATCGCCTTGCTCAAAGTCCATTGTCACAATCACAATGTGGAAAGACGTAGGCATTTTATTTATTTATTTATTTTATGTCTTTCTAACTCCTTGAACATGAAATAAAAAATACGAAAAAGAATCATGACTATTGCTTTATATATATATATATATATATATATGTATATTTTTATATAAATGTAATATACAAAATTTAAATGAAAGATTCTTTCTTGAGATCGTGTGGCAGAAGATTAATTTTCAAAGAAAAAAGAAGACGGTACTAATATAATTTTTATGATATATATATATATATATATATATAACTTGATATGCATTAATATTTGGTTGAGTAATTATTTGTGAAAAGTAAACAGTCAAACTCATACAATTTCAAGAACTGTAAAGATTTATGCATTTTCTATATATATAAATATTTGTAATCTCTCTCTCTCTCTCTCTCTCTATATATATATATATATATATATATTAATTTTAAAATTTGTGGAAAGTAGTGTTACAGAAACATAAACTTTGTCTATGCTTTTATTTATTAACGCATAAAAATGATTAAGGATGTGAAAAACCATAAAATACCATTTTTGTTCAAGAGTAAGTAATTCACATAAAAACTAAACTATAAAAATATTTTATGGTTTAGAATACATATCTTGCAACTTCTAAGATTGTGAGTGAAACGAAAGTTGTAGCATGCACCCATATCATCGCCTTCAGTATTGAAAAAACCAACTGAATTTTAAGAAACCATGCATTTCTGATCCATGATAGATCACAATGAACACTCAAATCAATCCTCAAAAAAAACGTCTTCAAAGTTCTATCATAAAAGCAAAGAATGAATCTTCGCAGAAAGATTTATTACAAATTCAAATAACCAGCAACTTGAATTCTATTACAGTTACTTTGCTCCCTGTGTCACAAAAATTCAGCTTCACATGTTCATTGAAACAGCACGTTGATACATTTAAAAGAGATAATATCAAACACTAAAGAACTGTCTTAAATAAATTATCTAGTGTAGAAATATATACTGTCTTGCGCAAACTCAAAGCTGAGGGGTTCCAGGGCTGCCTGCGTTCGAAGCCATCATAAAAACGCAGATCGAGCTCAATGTTGCCACGAATCCATGGAACCCTTAATGCGGCGAAAAAGAATTTCAGCGATGTGCACAGCACCGCTCCTCAAGGCACTTCGATTATTTCTGATTCCGGAGCAGATTTTCGAACGACTGATAGTCCTTCTGGCCGATTTAACCGGCCGTTATGCATAGAGAGCGACGGAGCGCGACGCACATCGAGGCTCCGCGTCACTGTGATGGGAGCCTCGTCTGCGGAAGAACGGTGCCCTGCAGCTACTAACCACCTGAAGTGATGCATCGGATCATATCGAGCTGATCTTAACTGCGTGGGGTTAGCTCTTCAGGTGCGATGTTGGAGAGAGTGTTCCGACTAAACAGCTCTAGTGTTGGTCCCAGCGATGGTCGGGGGTAAGTGTCCTCCAGTGCTGACCGGAGTATCGACAATTTTCTTAATTTGGTGAGTTTTGCGATGCGATGTGATGCGATGTGATGCGATGCGCCTGGTTGGGAGAAGAGGAAGTGGGTCCACAGCGTGATTATATCCACGAGGTTCAGAGGGACAGGGAAGGTGAACTCTCTCTCTACATACAAATATTCATATGTAATAAGATTGTGTTTCTGCGTATCCCGTGAGTGACTCGTCCCATTCCTGGGAGGCATAGACCTTTGTTTTGTTTTTGTTTTTGTTTTTTGCTGGTCTCGTATTTGTCGTTGCCTGCATCGATCAGTCATGTGATTTGGGTGCTACAGGACGCTCGATTCGAAGCCCGCGCGTGTGATGCTGATCCTGGTGCAGATTTTCGTGAGCTTGCGCGGGGAACCCACACACATCGGACAATAGAACGAACAAACGAACGAACGAACGAACGGAAGAATGAATGAATAAAGGATTCATGGATGGATGAGGGCGTGAGAGGGCGGATGGAAGGAATGATAGCCGCACCAATGAACAAGATACTCCAACTTGCCCCACCTTTGTCATGAATCCAGTACCTTTTCAACCTCGTATTCCTCATGATTCTCGATCTCAATACTAGGTGGCAGATAATGTACTCTTCCAGGAAAAGACGACTCTCGATAAGGCTCTAACAGAGAAACATAAAAGGCTGGATGTACCTTCATAGAAGCCGGTAATTCCAAACGGTACGCCATTGGATTGATTTGCTTCTGGATGATAAATGGTCCCAATCTTCGATAGTCCAACTTATCACATGGTCGCTTGGTCTTGATATTTCATCAAAAAAGCCATGCTTTATCTCCAATTTTGAAAGTAGGTGCTTGATTTCGAAATCTATTTGGGGATGCCTTGTAGGATTCTTGAGCGGATTGTAATTGAAGTTTCAATGTATTTTGAAGCTCTGATAGTTGTTTCGCAAATCCTTCAACTGCTGGATTGTTATTTATTGATGGACTCAATAAATCAAGCTTCAGATGATACCCATAGTTGGAAAAGAATGGTGTGTATTGAGTCGACGTGTGGAGGGTGTTGTTATATGTAAACTTGGCTAGCGACAGATATGTGGTCCAATCGTCTTGCTGATAGTTGATGCTGCATCATAAGTATTGTTCCAAGACTTTGTTCACTCGTTTCGTTTGGCCGTCAATTTGAGGATGAAAAGCCGAAGAAAGTTTGATATCCACCTTCAGTATCTCAAAGAGAGATCTCCATAACTTTGATACGAACTGGGTTCTTTGATCTGATACAATATCATCTAGTCCATGATATCGATACACATTATCGAGAAAGAGCCTTACTGTGACTTCACTGGACGATGTCTTCTTGCAAGGAACAAAGTGCGCCATCTTTATAAGCCGATCTACCACGACAAAGATGTTGTCAAATGAGTTCGATGAAGGAAGGCCCGTGATGAAGTCCATGGAAACTGAAGACCATGGTCGACGTGGAATCGGCAATGGCTGTAGGAGTCCATAACGGCGATGCCGAGGATTCTTCGATCTTGAACAGATGTCGCAGGAGAAGAAAAAATCTTTCACATCCTTCCACATTTGGGGCCACCAAAAATCTCGAGAAATAAGCTCCAAGGTCTTGTTAAATCCAAAATGTCCCGTAGTTGGAAAATCGTGGCAAGATTGAAGAACTCGGAGTCATGCTGGTCCTTTTGGGATATACAACCGCTCCTCAAAGTATAAAAGATCTCCCTCCACCTTGAATTTGTCGTCATTGGCATGCTGCTTCATATCAATGGCTACTGAATCTTTAATAGTCGCAGCATGTACCTGATTCAAGAAGTCAGCATCAATTGGCACAATAGTAGCGCAAAGCCGAAATTACTCTGGCTTCAACAACGTCGTATATTGTTGATCAAAAGCTGCTTCTCCAGCCTTTGGTACAAGATATGATCTCCTCGATAAGGCATCATATAGTCCTTGCTGCTTTCCAGGTCGATAAGTGATAACAAAATCGAACCTAGATAGTAACATACTCCACCAAGCTTGACATCGATTTAGAACTTGAGCCGATATGAAATACTCCAAATTCTTGTGATCTAAGTATATGGTCATTAGGTGTACAGCTCCTTCAAGAAAATGATGCCATTCTTAGAAAGAATCCACTATAGCAAGAAGTTCCTTATCGTGGATCTCATAATTGATTTCAATAGCAGAGAACT